AAGGTATGGATAGTCTTAATTACATACCGGTCGTCATAACAGATTTTTTAAACAGCCCAGTCAGATGTACTTAGGTGAGGTTTTGGAATTTGTGTCAAATGTTTGGACTCCTTGGTGTTTTTCCATACAATACAAGGTAAAATATTTTGCCCCATAACACCCATTTATTTTTTCCTGTAAGACTTAATAGCTCATAAAAGGTCATTTACCAAAATTTTAGAAGGTTCTTGATTTTCTTTCTTTTGATTTGAGACACATATAATACCAATGCAAATATAAGGTAAACGTCCGAGTCAGCCTTTTCCCGCCATATTTTAAATATCAACTATCTTGAAAAGGAGCTCGATGACCTATCAATATTTTTAGCTTATTTTGATCCTTAACCAATGCTCTACCGGCTTATATTATCAATTTTCGATTCTTGATTTATTTAATTTTACCTAAGTACATCCTTAACGGGGGTGGTAAAGGGTAATTTTCGTGCATCGTGTTTGACGGTTTTTTTTAATTGACAATCAACGTGTTTTTACTTTTTTTTATTTTTACGTTCGGTTGTGCAAGACGGGTGCCTCGTTCAAAGTGTTCCCCCAACTTAATTATACGTGCTTCGAGATTAATGGTGCTTACTTTCCATGCTTCGAGATTTAAAGTGCTTGCTTTCCGTGCTTGGTAAAATTAAAAGACTGTCGTTTTGGAAGTTAATAAAAAGAAATTAGAAATAATTTTATGATTTTCCTTATAGATTTCGGGACTTCAAACGTATATATTATAATATCATACTTGCCGTTTCAAACCTATGATATGCGTTCGTTATAGTACTTTTTATCACGTTCATTGACGAAATTATTTCACGTTAGTTCACCGTGAAATTGTTATTCCTTCTTTGTATTCAACGTTTTTTCCGTCCAAGTACGACCCTTTACCACCCTTTTAACTAGACTCTCTTAACTAACTAGTAACGAATATTATTTTTAATTTAATTTAATCAAGCTCAACCCACTACAAATTAGAAAATCCAAGTTCCTAAGCCAACAGTACTTGTTTGTTTTTCTCTAATTAATATTTTTTTTAATTTTTTTTTCAAAAGTTGACTTAATAAATAAGATTTCCGTGAGGTCATTTTAGGTCCCAGGAAATTGCGAGAATGCAGGATTTTGCACCATTTACCCCAGAGCTTCTGGGGGCCTTAAGGCCCCAGACCCCCTGCCGTTTGACTTTCTCCTCCGGCATTGAGTACACATCATATTGGCCTAGCTACGCCCCTGGTATGATTGCCAATGAGACAACTATCCACCAAATTTCAAATAAAGTGGATGTATAGGATTTACACTAGAGCCTTTTTATGTCTGTGGCTACGAGAGAATCGCATGAACTCTAAGCGGAGCGAGAGTAGTAAAACAGCGAACGAAATACTAACAAGTTGATTATGAATTACAAATATCAATTATGAAATTAAGTGAAATATTAGAAAAAATAATTACATAACATGTATGTCAGTTCATATGAGAGTCATGCGAATGGATGACACTGTGACAATCGCGAGGCGACAACAAAATCAAATTTTATTTCCCAGGCAATCTTGAAAATGCAACATTCATGACTGCATGTGCTTCACATTACAACGTCACGAAAATGCATTAGAATTCAAACCAAAAGCTTGATATAACTTGGAATTTCATGGTTGTAGCATATAAATATAATTATAACAATTTTTGCTTCTTTTTGTAATTTTATCGGTGTGTAAAAGAGTTGATCGCACATTTTTAGTTTGAAGCGCTTCAAAATGCACTTATTCAGCTTGGTACTATAGGTAATTTAACAGATATGGTTCATTAAAATATTCAAATGAAAATATAGATTAAGTAATCTAATTACTAATAGTTTGATTGTTTTCAAATTTGCCACTTTTATTGAATTGTTTTACTAGTAGTATCATGACAAAATTCCATGATTTACGATTTTTTCCCAAATCTTGAAGTTGATCTCAAATATATTTTTTTCTTCCTTATTATATACATTTTCCAAAATACTGACTTAAGTAGTCGACATGTTGAATCCAACTTTTTAACTGATGATAAGGTAAAACCACGAGACCATTTTTGAAAAACATACTGTAGGTCTATTTTTAAATCGATGTCCATATCAGTCGTTTTTTTAATGTGCTTCGGATGTTTGAAACCATCTATTGAGTTCAAGTTCAAATTAAAGTTCGAGTTGATGTTCAGAGTTATTCGTTATAAAAAGGGAGAACGGCAGTCAAATAATAGAAAAAATTCGTAAGGGTTCCGCGGAACCCAGTGTCTCGCCTACTTTTTCTGTTAATCGCAGGCTCAACAAAAATGAGGAAGTAAATCAATAAAAATATTCTTCTTGATACTATCTTTTGATTGTAAGAAGCTTCTGTCCAAGTTTGGTAAAATTCCAGGATAGTTTATGAATCTAATAAATGTTTAAAAACTTTAAACTGCAGACTGAATGTAATGTCACAGTAACTGGAAGAAAACAAAATTTCCTTCTAGATACTAGCATTTGATCATAAACAAGCTTCTGTCCAAGTTTGGTACAAATCCAAAATAGTATAAGAAAGTTATTAAAATTTTAAAAAACTTTAACCACAGAGTGAATGTGTTGTTTCCTGGCAGAAAATCTAAGTCCATTTAAAAGTAAAATACGGAAAAAATGGATTTATTTTTTTACAAAATTTCCTTCTAGATACTAGCTTTTGATCATAAACAAGCTTCCGTCCAAGTTTGGTACAAATCCAAAATAGTATAAGAAAGTTATTAAAATTTTAAAAACTTTAACCACAGAGTGAATGTGTTGTTTCCTGGCAGAAAATCTAAGTCCATTTAAAAGTAAAATAAGGAAAAAATGGATTTATTTTTTTACAAAATTTACTTCCAGATACTATCTTATGATCATAAACAAACTTCTGTCCAAGTTTGGTACAAACCCAGGATAGTTTAAGAAAGTTATTAAAATTTTAAAAACTTTAACCACAGAGTGAATGTAATATTTACCGGCAGAAAAACTAAGTCCATTTATAAGTAAAATACGGAAAAAATGGAATTTTATTTTTACAAAATTTACTTCTGGATACTATCTTATGATCATAAACAAGCTTCTGTCCAAGTTTGGTAGAAATCCAGGATAGTTTAAGAAAGTTATTAAAATTTCAAAAACTTTAACCACAGAGTGAATATTTGTGGACGCCGCCGACGACAACGCCGACGGAATGTAGGATCGCTATGTCTCGCTTTTTCGACTAAAGTCGAAGGCTCGACAAAAAAGTACTAAAAAAATAAGGGGGCTATACCAACATCACTTAGTGGCTGTTTATTTTCCTTAGATCTTACATACACTATAATAATAACAAACACAAAGCAATGCATTTAGCCGTGCAGACTATTTTAATTTTGTTCCCACTAATTTGTCATGTAAATTATTTGATACTCTTATAAGACCTATTTTGACATACAACTCTGAAATTTGGTTTATGGATAATTTTCAGTCAGCTTTTATGGCATCTAATAGAGCTGCAGTAAATAATACTTTTTGTGATACTCTTGCATTAGCAGAAAAATATCCCTTTGAGCAGGTTCATTCTAAAGTTTGTAAAGCAGTATTAGGACTGAAAAAGACACCCACTAACATAGGTACTAGATCAGAATAAGGTAGATTTACTTTGGACTCTTATATAAAAACTCAAACACTCATGTATTTTTGAAATTAATCCCCTGGTTAAAGAATCTCTGCAAACAAACATAAATTTACATTCCGCAGGAATTTATTCTTGGTACTCATTTGCAGGTAATTTGTTTAAAGATATGAAAATAAACCCAGAAAATTACTCTAATATTAATATACCTTTTAAACAACCAAAAAATGTGTTAAAATATAACATTAAAAAGTGTGTTTCAGAGGAATATGAAAAAACTACTTTAAATAAACTTCCAAAAATGGATTCCTCATCTAAACTTTGTCTTTATGGAAAATTAAAAAAAACAATTGTCAGTTTGAGGAATGTTTAAATTACAATAATTTTATACATAGGCAGTTAACCTCAAAATTTAGACTTAGTGATCATTCCCTAGGCATTGAATTGGGAAGGTACAGAAAGATTCCAAGAGCACAAAGATTATGTAAAAAATGTGGAGTCCTAGATGACGAATTTTATTATTTTTTGTATTGTGACATAAACATATCATTGCATTCTAATTTTTTTGCTTATCTAAAAGACTATGTACATAAATTAGGCCGTTAGTTTTCTCGTTTGAATAGTTTTACATTGTCATTTCGGGGCCTTTTATAGCTGACTGTGCGGTATGGGCTTTGCTCATTGTTGAAGGCCATACAGTGACCTATAGTTGTTAATTTCTGTGTCATTTGGTCTCTTGTGGAGAGTTTTCTCATTGGCATTCATACCACATCTTCTTTTTATATGTACCATTATTTCAACTCTTGATGCATTTAATAAACTAAAACACATTCTAAACCCCGTTCCTGAACTTGTTTGTCATATTGGAGTCCTATATAAAGCAAAATTAGGATGGTGATAGGTGATACATATTTTTGGCCATGGAAAGAATTGCAAACAAATATCCAGTCCCTTCAGTCATAAAAATTACAGTGAGTATGTATGCTCCCTGTATATATTTATTGGTAGAGAATAAGCACCAGCTACATGTACATGTATGTGTTTCTTCCAAAATATGTTTCTCAAACATATTCTTTATTTATACTTACTGTTTTTATTTCCTTGAATACTTCACATCATTATATACTTTAAACATTCATTTTAAACAAAAATAAGGAGATGTGATATGATTGCCAATGCCATGAGACAACTATCCAATGCCTTGTACATTTTAATTCAATAAATGTAATTTTAGAATACTCAAATATTATTTTGTAGTTGTATACTTGAGAACACCTCATTCTATTTTTTTAAAAATTCATTTGCAAACAACACATTTTTTATTTTCTTTTGTAGACTAAGAGCATATGATAAAAATCAGAATTCTAAAAATACTGTTATCCATGCTCCAGAGCCATTGGAGGTGGAATGGCCTGTTTCAGGGTTTAAACAGTTGAAGAAGGAGCACAAGCTCATCATGCCGAAATTATCAAGAGAGCAAATAGAGGCTTATTTCTTGTATAGGATGGCAGGTAAGTACATGTTGTTAACCCTGTTTATTTATGATCTTCATGCTTGATTTATAATAACTGTGTTTTTTTGTACCTATAAAATCTTTTTGCTTCTAAATTATTATAACTGTATAAATATACCTTCACATTTAAATATTTAAAAGAGAAGGAAGACACAAAGGGGACACTCTTAAGTTATACATTTAAGTAAAAAAAAAAATACCACGGACAAAAATAAATTAAAACTAGAGGCTCTCAAGAGCCTGTGTCGCTCACCTGTATTTACTGATGCTTTGGAAATCATGTAAAATAAGGTTAAAATCATAATTAATAGTATTAGATATTAGATATTATAATGATATCTAAGATAATAACAAAAAACTGCAAAATTTTTGTAAAATTACTAACTCAGGGGCAGCAACCCAACAACGGATTGTCGGATTCGTCTGAAAATTTCAGGGCAGATAAATCTAAATCTGATGAACAATTTTGCCACCTTGTCAGATTTGCTCTAAATGCTTTAAGTTCAGAGATATAAACCAAAAACTGCATTTTACCCCTATGTTCTATTTTTAACCAATTCCGCCATGATGGTTGGAAGGCAGGGTCATCGGACAAATTTTTTAAACTAGATATCCTAATAATGATTATGGCCAAGTATGGTTAAATTTGTCTCAGTAGTTTCAGAGAAGAAGATTTTTGTAAAAGATTACAAAAATTTACAAAAAATTGTTAAAAATTGACTATTAAGAGCAATAACTCCTAAAGGGGTCGACTGACAATTTTGGTCATGAAAACTTATTTGTAGATCTTACTTTGCTGAACATTATTGCTGTTTACAGTTTATCTCTATCTTTAAAAATATTCAAGATAATAACCAAAAATTGCAAAATTTACTTAAAATTACCAATTCAGGGGTAGCAACCCAACAACAGGTTGTCAGATTTGTCTGAAAATTTCAAGGCAGATAGATCTTGACCTGATAATCAGTTTTACCCTACGTCAAATTTACTCTAAATGCTTTGGTTTCAGAGATATAAGCCAAAATCTACATTTTCCCCCTATGTTCTATTTTTAGCCATGGCGGCCATCTTGGTTGGTTGGTTGGCGGGGTCATTGGACACATTTTTTAAACAAGATACCCTAATGATGATTGTGGCCAAGTTTGGTTCAATTTGGCCCAGTGGTTTCAGAGGAGAAGATTTTTGTAAAAAGCTAACGACGACGGACGACGACGACGACGACGACGACGACGACGACGGACGACGGACGCCAAGTGATGGGAAAAGCTCACTTGGCCCTTCGGGCCAGGTGAGCTAAAAAAAGAAAAGGATAAACATCAATAACAAAACTTCACATAGAAAACTAGGGACTAGCAACACATACCTATAATTGATTAATATAATTTTTATCTTTTAGAGGACAATGTGTATAGTGGTGAACTGCAATCTATGACAAAGGGTCAACTGATGTTTGAAAGCCATAGCGTTTTAGCGTGTTCTATTTTAAAAAATGATAATGGGATATTTCTTAGTGGTGTGGTAGGAGCAGCTATGAAGAAAAAGGTATCATTACACTTTCTGCTCTTTATCTTTATCTTAGTGGAGAAATATTTAGTAATCATGCATCTTCACCTATTATTAGTTTTGAAAGATACATTTATTTTTACATCTTAGTTATTCATTGTTTTTTAAATGTCAGCTTCACTTCAAAAGATATCACACATGATATTTCATTGCTTCTGTTTCTATTACCTTCAAATTTACAATTTATTTTGTATTCAGGTAACTTACAACTACAAGTTGAAACTTGAAAAGAGCTCCGGTGATCCACTGAACTCACATTGTGAATGTCCAGCTGGAAAGGGACCACATGGATCCTGCAAGCATGTGGCAGCAGTGCTAATAATGATAAGTGAGTTCATAGCAACTGGAAATGTAAATACAGGAAGGTCGTGTACTGAAACTTTGATGATGTTTACCAAGCCAAAATCATCATATAGTGGTATGTATTTTTTGTGATTTTCATAGTGCAAAACTGTAGTGGTAGCCTAAAGCCACCTGACGAGTACCCTTGGCAGGGACGAAACAGTTTAAGCAAAAATCTCATTAATCACCAGAAATTTGCCAAAACTTACCCTTTTATAAATTTCAATTACATACTTTATAACTTTTTCCACATTGGTAATACATGTACACCTTAACAATCTCTGAACCAGATCTAGCATTGTACCATGTGTTATAAAAATATCATCTTTAGTTAATGCTGTAGAATAAAGTATTGAGCAGAACTTCATCACAGATACTCAATTGTGAAATGTAGGTTAGATTGACATATTTCCCTTGGTCTAGCTTACTTCAGTACCAATTAAGATCTGCAGTATAAAGAAGATGTGGTATGAGTGTCAACATGGTCAATGAGACAATTCTCCATCCAAGTCACAATGTATAAAAAGTTAACAATAATAGGTCAAAAGACAGTCTTCAACATGGAGCCTTGACTCACATGGAACAGCAAGCTATAAATGGCCACAAAAATGACTATTGTAAAACTATTCAAACTGGAAAACCAACAGTCTAATAATCTATATAAAAATAGTAACACCTATGAACCACACCAACAAACGACAACCATCTGACAACAATGCATTTACCAAGATGCATTGACACATCAGCATCAGTTACTACAAACTGGACCACAACATGAATCTGTATTCATAGTTTGGGTAAAATAAACTGTTATCACAGAGATATGTCTCGCCTTTTTGTAATTTTGATAATGCAAATGTTGAAATTAAAATAGCAATACTTTAACATGTAAGTTATGCAAATATTCAAAGTCGATGAACCATATAATATAATCTCCATGGAAACGATACTTGCAAATGCCAATAAATTTGCGTACCAAATATCATTGACTTAACATTAGCAGTTCATCTTAAACTGATCAAACCACAAACTAATACATGTAAACTAAGCAAAAGTTTCAAAGTAAATAGACCATGACTGAGGGGTGGGGCCAAACATTCTCCAAGGAAATGAGATGTGCTAATGCTTATACAACTGAACACCAATTAACATTGGCCTACCACTAATGGTTCCCCTTGAACTGACATAATCACAAACTAATACATGTTAACTTAGCAAAATTTTCAAAGTCTATAGACCATGACTAAGGGGGCGGAGCCAAATAATCTCCATGGGAATGAGATATGCTAATGCTTATACAACTGCATACCAAATATCATTGACCTACCACTAGTGGTTCCCCATAAATTGACCTAATCACAAACTTATACATGTAAACTATGAAAAGTTTCAAAGTCAATAGACCTTGACTGAGGGGGCGGGGCCAAATAGTCTCCATGGTAATGAGATGTGCCAATGCTAATACAACTGCATACCAAATATCATTGACCTACCACTAGTTGTTCACCATGAACTAGACCTAATCACAAACTAATACATTGTTGCCGTCGCCGGAAACAGCATACCTATGTCTCGCGTTTTGACTCTGTCAAGGCGAGACAAAAAAACTGTATGACAAATGCTAGCAATTGACTAGATAAAAAGTAACTTCCAGATTTTTTGTTGCATAGTAAAATGCATCTTTGCAGTTTACTTCTGTTCTTTTAAGGGTCTCCAGTGAAAGCAGAAAAGTTGCCAACTAAGAGAAAGCTGGCACCAGTTTATCTTGCAGATCCTAGACCAATTAAATACAGAAACTGCCCAGGTTACAATGACCACATCAAAAACACTGTAACAAACTTCTGCAGTGTATCATCAATGGACTTATCAATTCGATACTTGTATGAAAAAGCTTATATTCAGGTAAGAGTGATTGTTTATTATAATTGTATAAATATATCAACATAAACAGTTTAACAGAATAAACAATACAATAAAATAACATATTATATATTATGTATATATATCTATATTGGTAAATTCATTAATCTATGTATATCATAAACACTGACCCTCATGAGTCATAACAACATTAAATAAATTCATAAATATTCATTTCTTCCATTAATATCATAAATCACTTCATTGTTTTATATTTATTTTCAGGCAGCAGCCAAAGATCATGATTATTGTCCCATGCCTTTTACTGAGCATTGGGTTGATAGAGCAAATAAGGTATTAAAAACTGGTTCAATAAATTTGGATCACAGTTTGGTAAAAAATTGAGTTATTCCCCTTTGTCCTAGAAATATACTAAACATGTAAATGCAAGTTACCCAGGAAAAATGACATAAGGATGCATGAAGTTCATCAGTCATTAATCTGTTGTATAAATTTACCTAATGCTTAACAAGACAAAACAAGAGAGGGTTTTTAATATTGTCATTGAGCTTTCCTATTATGTTCTTCAAAATGCTTTAGATATTTTTACTTTGGTAATGATTTTAAGTCTTAATTTAATAAAGATATGGAATCATGGATAAACAATTATTTTCGAAAGGAGTTGACTAAATTAAATTATTTAAAGTTTTTCTTCTTTTAATTTACAGGATCATGATTTAGAATCAATCAATCAGAATGATATTATGTTTTCATATAGGTTACACAATCAGATGTAGATTTGATTGAGAGGTCTTCCCGCCTACAAAGTTGCAGTCCCAAGTGGTTAGAAGAAAGAAGATGGAGACTGACAGCATCTACCTTCGGCGAGATTTGTGAAGTCACTTCAAGACGGAACACTAACAAATTTTGTCATTCACTTTTTTATGGCTCAAATATTCAGGGCAAGGCACTTAGTCATGGCAAAAACTATGAAGCTAAAGCATTGAAGGCTTTTAATTTAAATTTAATATGAATGCTAAAAGATGTGGTTTTTATGTCAGTATTGATAAATCTTTCCTTGGTGCTTCACCTGATGCCATTTTAGAGGATGGTAAAGCAATTGTCGAAATTAAATGCCCCTACAATGGAAGAAATGAGGATGTTAAGCCTTTTCAATTTTTTACAGATGGATAGTAATGGCAATATTGTTTTGAAAGAGAGCAGTAATTATTATGATCAAATTCAAGGGCAGCTTTTTGTCACCAAAAAATCTCTATGTTACTTTGTTGTTTATACCTTATGTGATTTGTTTGTACAAAAAATCAGCCTTAATGAGGAGTATTGTAATAACTGTCTTGTTCCAAAACTGGAGTCATTTTACCAAAGAGTTTTCAGACCGTATGTTGCTTCAACATTGTAAATTTGTAGTAAAAATCATACGAAATTCAATTAAAACAAATAAATATTTATCAATACATATTCACTGATTACAACTAGTAGTTATTCAATTTGGAATGTCATTTTATTTGTAATTTGATACATGTATAAAATTATTTTTCTAATATATTGATTTGATTTGAAAATTAAATGCCCCTTTAACAAATCTCTTTGAAGTTTTTTGTAATATGCTGGTTTATATCTTTATCTTAAGTTTCTACCTATACAATCAACCAGGAATGATAAAAAATCTCTCAAAAAGGGACAGATAACTCTTTTAATTCAATTGATGGAACTGTTATCCCATTATACGTTTTAAGGTTAAGAATGACTTACTGGAGCAAGCAAAATATCTCTTTATAATGAAAGAAGTAATGAATTATTAACTTATATTATTGAAGAGCTAATTCTTTAATTTGATAATCCAATTTATTTAGTATGTATTAAACAATTTTGAAATGCAAGATAATTATTATAACATGCAATATTTGTAACCAGTAAATACTAATTTTTGATGTTCATGCTAGAATCTTAAACACTTAACTTTACAATTTTCATTTATTAAAATCAAATAAAGTGATGCCAATTAAAAAAATCATAACAATTTTTTCTTTAGTGATAAATATACCAGTATTGAGTTGTTTGAATAATTTTACCTCTTGTAAGTTGGGCTTTTTATAATATAGTTATATTATTTACTTTATGGTATGTGTTTTTCTCATTTTGAAGGCCTTTATGTGATCTTCAGTTTCTTGCATCTATATCTTACATCCAAGCCATTTAGTCTCTTGTCGATATTGTCTCACTCATAATCATACCACATCTTCTTGTACCGAAGAAGGTTACCTTTCAGATTACCATATTTTATGATTAGAATTTATAGTACAATAAAAAGAAGATCCTTTTATTCCACTGCTTATACATATTGATATTATTAATTCGTATATTTTAACTAATTTGATTCGTTTAGGGATAGCCACATGTTAAACTATATTTTCGAAACTAGGTAGAAAATGGCGGATAGCAAAAAGCATATTGCACAGGTATTTTTAGAATACTCTAAAACCGATATACTTTGTGACGTCATGTAATGAATTTCATGATATTGTTAAAATTTTATAAAAAAATATCTATGATCCAGTATTTGAAGAAAAAAAATTAAAAAAAAAAACAATATAAAAATAAATGAAATAACATCTAATATGTTGTTATTGTCTAGGAGACAATATGATATCTATAAAATTCCAACAAAATCAAATGACAATTTTGATACAATTAATAATATAACAATTATAGCCTATGTATGAGGTCAATACAGGATATATCGACCTCAGATTTCGTCCTCAGTCAATATACTTATTTCAGGTCAATATATCCTTGTATTGACCTCATACAAAGGCTATAATTGTATAATAGCTTAATTCAATATTTGATTGGTTGAGACTATCCCACGCGTCATTTAACAAATCTTCATATTCCCCTCTGAAATGTTAGGACTACATAGTGTGACATAACGATTTGAACTTTTTTTGTTAAAAAGCTATAGGAAAAATCATTAGCGTGTTCGTATTTATTTCAGACGCTAAAGCAAATACACTAATAATTAACTTTTGATCCGGACTGTTTAGGACAAATAAAAAAAGATGTGTGTTTCCTATTACCCTACCCTCCTTATTTTTTAAGCTCAAAAATAGCTTACCCTAAAGTTTTTTTTGTCATTTTGCAATAAGCACTTTTAAAGTCAGAATGTCTCTCCCAAAGACTGAATGTAAAAATAAGGGTAAAATAAAAAAAAAAATCCATACCTTCTTACCAAATTTTTTTCAAAGATGTAATAGGAAACACACATATTATTTTTTTGACCTTATCAATGCATATGTCTTGTTTAGCAGATAAGGAATAAAAATGTATACAAACTAATATTTTATGTACATGTAGTAAACAAAGCATAGACAGTGGAATAAAACATTTATTTCCCTTGGATTCGGGTGATATGAAGATTTGTTCCCCCCCTCGAAAAATCATATTTCTCTCGGGCAAAGCCATCGTGAGATATAAATATTCTTGAATGAACAAACCTTCATATCTCCCTGATGCACAGGAAATAAATGTATAAAGTCACATTGTGTTTTTAAAACATCAAGCATTTCCGTGTACAATATTCTTCCTGAAATTTGAAATTGCAAAACAAACAAAAACTTTTCTTGAACCCAATTGCAGCTTTGACTTACAAATACCATGTTTTAATATTTTAAAACTTTTTGTTAAACCTATAACTCTCTCTATGTGTATACGCTTTGAAGCTACCCTTCGGTCATGAAGAACTTCAGCTGGATCCAACTGGGATTTACCTTTCAGGAAATTTGGTATATTAACTTGAACCCCTTGATTTGCAAATAGATCCTGTACAAGTATACCCCTATCTGCCATAATGGAATCATCTTTTTCAAAAGATCTCGATGCAGGGTCAAGTAAATTAGACTTCTCAATTATTTGTCTGTCAGATGCAGAACCGCCATATGAATCAGATATAAAAGTTATAGCTCCTCGTGGACTGCATCCAATCATGGTCTTTAGCATGTTTTTGTGTTTGTAATTTGACCAAGTTGCACTCTGTGACTCTACATTTGATGGTCTTTCAATTGGTATTTCTGTAGCATCCATTATCACTCTGGTTTTGGGAATTTTTTTAGAGAAATCACTAGGCATGGTTTCTTATATTATTTCTTGAGAAGGCCAAATGTTAATTTCTTTAAGCTGAAATTACAGGTAATTAATCCAAGTGATGATGATTCTAGAAACTGTGGATTGTGATACCTTAAAAAGCATTGACAATTCAATATCCTCTTTGTTTTGTCTAAGTTTGATTAAAGTCATTAAAAGTTGATCAATAGGATCGAGTAAATTACACCTAAAATCAAGTTCAAATGCACTTGGTCCAAGACAAAGAAAAAACATCATGAAATGGTCAAAATTTTGAAAACCAGTATAATAGTTGATAATTTTGTTATCTTCTTTGAAAGATTCTATTGAAAATTTACCAAATGATGGAATGTCACATTGGATACTTTGGTTTTGCTGTGAGGATTCATTAAGATTGAATATAACTGACTCCTGAGCTTCTTTTGTTGTTTCAATTTCAGTTTCATATATATTGGATCTCTAAAGAATCATCATTAATTAAGTGTGGTGTGGCTGATGAAGTATCAGATCTACTTTTAAATCTTTTTGCTCTTGGGGACTCTTCAGAACATGTCTTCATCTTAAATTCGAACACAGAAGGAATAGCATTTTCTGTAAGTCTGCAGCGATCACCTGCATATAAAAAACAATGAATTTGTTAACATCATATCCATTTTCTTTACATTTTAAAGCTACAGGTTTGAGTTAATGCAGTTGTGAAACAACACATTTTAAAAGTACTTTGAGCTTGTGTAAGTTTATATAAAAATAAGAAGATGTGGTATGATTGCCTATGAGACAACTCTGTACTAGTTTCTCTTATCATGCTTATATTTCGTTACATTTTTTTTTAATGGTAATTTTGAGCTTGAAATACTTGTATTATACAGATATTGTATAGACACTTGCATTGTCTATTGTTAAACGGCAGTATGTACATGTATGTATGTTGACAACTAGATATGTTAGGTTACTTGTGTTGTTGAGTTGCTGTATTGAAGACGGATAGTACATTTTTACATGTACAGTTGCTGTATATATCATTAACTTTCAAAATTTAAGGATTAAAATAGAAGTAAACAAAGCTAATAAAAATAAACTTCCCAACAGCTCATAAGATTTTTCTTTAGAAGCCTTGATCTGTTGATTTCATTGCCTCTTGGTTATCCTAGGGAAAGAAAACAAAAAACACAAAGCAACATGCAAACAAAAACATATTTAAATGTACCCATTTTTAGTGTTTTTTATACTATCAAACAATATTTATAAAAACATCACTTCTTATTTATATGAAAAGGTAAAAGAAATATTAATACAATATTACATACATTTGTACATGTATTCATTTGTATTTTAATATTCAGTTTCAGGTGCAAAATAAACATGTATGATGTTTTACAATAAACAATGACTTAGAGTGAAGTATAAAAGAAAACCTAGTATGAAGCTGTATAAAAAGAAATAAACATCCTTTCATTTTTTGTGATAGACATGATTTATTTTGCTTATGAATTTTTTGTATCTGCTCGACAAAAAATTAAACTACCATTTGTGAATGTTTATAACAAGAATTTTTTTAATCATAGTTGATTTCAGTTTCTTTTCTCCAATTTTAACCAAGAAACAAAACTTTCTACACTTAATGATAGAGCACAAGTTTACAGAAAACTTCAAACTTTGCTTTCTAACAGTCATTTACATACTGAAACATTTTTCATAGTATTATATTAATATATGATATATTAATAATATAGAGGCCACAAAAAACCCACACACACATAATTAATTAAAGGAAAGTACCTAAAACACTAAAATGGGTACAAGTTGTATAAGAAAAAATTGCACAAAATATCAAATATAAATTAAAAACCAATGTCAATACTATAAGTCAAAGATCACACACTTTGAAAATTTATAACAAAATAAAGAATATTAAAAGTTTATAAATTTCATACAAAAAAACTACTGTCATATCAATCATTTCTCTGGTATTACTAACCTGACAATGTTCTTCGGTAATCAGTGGCAAGAAAATGGTCATAGCAAACCACGTCATGTTGACCAGGATTCCACAACTTCTTTGTTTTACCGTCAGTTCTCCTGATTGCAACCCTCCATTTCATCCTCATTGTCGGATCATTCGGAAACCGATGTCCCACTAAAGCCTTACACCCAGGTACATAACATCTTTGGGGCATTTTATGGTTTTACAACGCTTGAAAGTTCTTAAAATATATGTACATGTCTTTGTGTCATTGTTTGTTTACGTTGGTTTCAAGCGTCTGACGCCCGATTAACCACCTATGGAACAACAACGCCACCTGACGCGTAAAATATGAAGGGTGATCCTATTGATACAAAGGAATAGCTATTTCCATTCCTTTCTGATAATCTACATTAATTTTGTCTGTTAAATAATGTAATTACTGAACTAAAACTAATTCCATAATAGTAACTAATGTTTGCTTAGATCTTTAATCAATATTCCAGGCATCACCAATGGCTAAAAATTCATTCTTTTTGTGAGTTATTGTGATGATGGTTTGCTGTCTCATTAACGAATACCAAATTTTGTATTTTTTCATATCTTCAGAAAAATCAAAATCATGATGATTTATGGCACTTTTATTTTATACGCTGGATTACATCTATCAGATGTAAAATATCCATTTAATTCACATTTGCATATATTATGAGGATTGCTATATAGAGTATGTGAAAGTTTTTGAAATAATGTCACACAGTTTATTAGTCCAGCTTGTCGTAAATTATTTTTCATTTCTGTAAATTTCTCTAGAATTTCTGGATCACTATTTCTTTTGACCATATCATTCAATGCATTCAGCTGAAATAAAAAAAAAAAACATAGTAATACCAAAAAATATTTTAAAACCTTATTAAAAAAAATCTTGCAATAAATGTTTTCATATGCTAGTACATGATATTAAACCTTTTTTTAAAGTAGATATCACGTCATCAACTAGACATTAGAATTCTTGTATATTCATAGGTGAAATTTGTTTTTAATTTTTTCTTTCACTGAACATATTACCATTTGCAATTGTGAATCATTTTTAAGAAATACTTTTCAAAATGTTTCAATAACAAAATGTTTAAATATTGCTAATGACCACTGGCTCCAATAATGAAATATGTCTCTACAATGACTATACAATGCCCATAAAATGGTGTGACACTGATGATGATGTGATAAATCTCTTAACTAAATACTTTTGATAAGGGGAGATCTGCAACTTTGTGTGGTTTTATAAGTTCACATCCATGAACTAATCAATACAAAAAGTTGCTCAAGTTGTCATGCTAAGCATACTCCCACTCATAGTTCAAAGTATCATCAAACAAGAATTCGAAGGTGTTGACAGCCCTTGTCAATCTTCTGAACAAATATGAAGTCATTCAGTTAAGTAGTTCCTGAGAAAAAGGTGGCAAAATAAACTTTTCCATTCAACATATGGAAAATTCAAGTATCAGCAAACAGGAAATAAGTGTAGGAAGAGTAATACCACCATTGATTTTCCCCTATTAGTCTCTGTTAAATTTGTACTTTAAAAAATGTGCAGAATTTATCATTGTTTCAAATAAATAAATACTTGGCATGAGTAAAGTTTTATCCTTTCCAATACTATAGACAAAAATTCACATATCTCTCTATCTACTACATTTTCACCAAAAAACAACATAAAAGTTGGTAAACATTATCATTTAAGGACAATGTCTCTCATAATGAGTAAACTAATGATTTCTGCTATATTCACCTATTTGTAGGTCTTATTTTGCTAGTATCTCTCTATCTACTAATGTTTAACTACAAAACACAAAATTTGGTCAAAGTCTTAAAAGGCTGTGTTGCAATATCTGTGACTAAATTTTGCTTAAAATGACTAGGTTCCCAGATCTGGAAATATGGGAAAACATTCCTCAAACAATTCTATAAAAGAAGGTGCACAACTTCAACATATATATATACAATCATTATTTATTTTGGATTCTATTTTAATGGTTATACTGTTACTTTTCAACACTACAGTGTATGTTGCAGATCTGTTATTCTTTTGGATGCCATCTTGGTACCATAGAAGCCTATTGCAAACTTGGATTATTCTGGTTAGCAAATGAAGTTGCCACTTTTAAAGTTTATTCCCTATATAGGGAACTCTAATATCTACTTTGTGAATAACTAAAACCTTTTAGTTGTATAATGCTAGAATAATACATAATCAAAGTACTGAAGTACTGAACATCGGATGACCACAAGTTCTGGTGGATAGTCACAGGTACTTGTCTCAGAAAAAAAATTCGTAAGGGTTCCGCGGAACCCAGTGTCTCGCCTACTTTTGCTGTTGTCTATGTTTTCAGTGTGATAGGGGAATGCACATAATTGATACAGTTAATGAAATGGTTTATGAATCTAATAAATGTTATAAAAACTTCAACTGCAGACTCTATGTAATGTTAACTGGAAGAAAAACTAAGTCCATTTATAAGTAATATACAGAAAAACATGAAATAAATTTTTACAAAATTTCCTTCTAAATACTAGCTTTTGATCATAAACAAGCTTCTGTCCAAGTTTGGTACAAACCCAGGATAGTTTAAGAAAGTTATTAAAATTTTTAAAACTTTAACCACAGAGTGAATGTAATGTTAACTGACAGAAAAACTAAGTCCATTTATAAGTAAAATACGTATAATCAGGATTTTTTTTTTACAAAATTTACTTCTGGATACTATCTTATGATCATAAACAAGCTTCTGTCCAAGTTTGGTAGAAATCCAGGATAGTTTAAGAAAGTTATTAAAATTTCAAAAACTTTAACCACAGAGTGAATATTTGTGGACACCGCCGCTGCCGATGACGGATTGTAGGATTGCTATGTCTCGCTTTTGTGACAATCGCAGGCTCGACAAAAAATACATCTCTATACCTGAAAGTTAGGCTAAGGTCATAGATATATATTTTTTTCTGAGACAAATTCCTATGATGATGAATAAATGACAGGGAATTCAACCTCACCGTAATAACTATTCTATTGTAGTGATATAATCATGGGACAATCATTTGTTATCAGTATAATCTGGTTTGTTGTTATATATTATATTAATATTTGTATAACAATCATATACATAGCAGATCATCTTAATAACTCCACCGTCAAATTTTCATCCATTTATACCATCATTCTATTCTACTATTCTAATGATAGTGCAGTGCAAGTGCATGGAGGACACTCTTCTGTAATAATTTGTTTTTCTAATAGGTTTGATTTGAGTAGGCATATATATTTCTTCCGCTAATGAATATTTAGTGAAGAAATCAATATATAATGAAAGAATCTTAGTGAGCGCGCTCACATACCCCACGTCCTCACATTGTCATTGGAGAAATGAAATAAGTGTAAGAAAAAAAAATTGTATCAAAAAAAAAATTGAATCATAATTTCCTGTCAATATGCACATCTACATAGTATGTCCTTATTATCTACACAGTTTCATGAAATTCTGTTGTGTGGTTTGAGAGGAGTTGCGATGACAAAAGGTTGCAGTAGTATATTGGGCAAATAAGTTCAAAGGGGCGTAACTCCTGGAAAAAAAATTGAGTCATAATTTCCTGTCGATATGAACATCAACGTAGTATGTCCTTATTATCTGAAAAGGTTTCATGAAATTCTGTTGTGTGGTTTGAGAGGAGTTGTGATGACAAAAGGTTGCAGTAGTATATTGGGCAAATAAGTTCAAAGGGGCGTAACTCCTGGAAAAAAAATTGAATCGTAATTTCCTGTCGATATGCACATCTACGTAGTATGTCCTTATTATCTGAAAAGGTTTCATGAAATTCTGTTGTGTGGTTTGAGAGAAGTTGCGATGACAAACTGTTGCAGTAGTACATTAAAGTAAACAAGTTCAAAGGGGCGTAACTCCTAGAAAAAGAATTGAATCGTAATTTCCTGTCGATATGCACAACTACATAGTATATCCTTATTATCTAAACAGGTTTCCTGAAATTCTGTTGTGTGGTTTGAGAGGAGTTGCGATGACAAGAAACAGGACTGACGGACTGACTGAAGGACAGACAGACAGACAGACGGACGGACGGGTCAAAAACATTATTCCCTCCCCAACTCGTTGCGTGGGGTATAACAAGCGATAAGAGATATTCATCCCCAACACAATTTTTCGGTACGTGTGCATAGATATTAATGATTTTTTTACTTATATATATATATTTCTCACAACAAAACATTTTCATATTATTTATTTATGTTCTTTTTATGAGTATTCATCAGGGCACACACTACTTCAGAATTATAAGGAGAAGTGACTTCTCTTTTTGAAACTGATAGGGAGAAGTGGTGAGACTTGAAAGAGAAGTGCTCGTTAGCTCGCTGCGCTACAATGTTTTGTTTTTACCATAATATATTGAGCCATATGTATCCTATTTATTTAATTCTTTTTTATATTGTTCAATTCATACATCAGAATACAATTAATTTAACAGTTGTTTCAGTTTATGTCTAAAATAATCATTTAAAGTTACCAGAGACATCAGGGTTCGACATTAACTTTAATACCAACTTGTCCAGTTGGGCAAGTGCCCTATTACATTTACTTGTCCGAAAGTGAAATCTCTTTGCCCAAACTTTTACATGCTATTTTTGTGGTTGTAATGTAGTACATGCAGATAAAATATAGTTATCATGTATATGGGGTGTAAATTGATTATGGAGTATGAATATTGATAGATTGAGAAGTCAATAATATTTCCAGAATCCCAGCTGTCAATACCATCAAACTCCTTTTTCCAAGACTCAATGAACACTCGTGGCTTCCTTTTTTGTTCATATTTAGCTTTTGACTCGGACTGGGAGTCAGATTTCCTTTTGAGAGAAATTCCACTGAAAAAACTTGCCAGGGTTGATTGTTGTGCCATGATGGCAGCAACTAGACTTGACCACTGAGATACTAAGAGGCATATATGAGCCGAGGAGAGAGGGAAAAGATCGACGAATATACGGGAATGATCATTTACATAGAGATACTTATTTCATAAAAATCTATCTAAGAAAAGTCATTTCAAAAAACCCTTCTTGATAAACTGACAACAACTGACAAATTTGTTAAAGTTTAATTTCATTTTCTCTATCAAGCTTTTACGTTTTTCCATCTTAGGGAAAAGGGAAATTCAATGTCAAAAATTCTAAAGTTAGAACAATGAAAATAGACCTCTGCTTTCCATTGGTCGGTGGAAATGCCTGAGTGGTGTCCTAATTGATAACGATAATGACGAAGCAACGCTGCGGCCGCCTGATTGGCCAATATTTTTAAATGTGATCTATTTTTGGTAAAATGGGGAATTCAGTGCGAACAAATGACGAAATATACGCATTGAAGGGGGGTTAAGACCACTTTACTCGACCATGTGGTGTTATCACTGAGTAATCTATGGACAAAACAACAGACACTATTGATTTTGTGAAATTTTAATCATATAACACATTTTTTTTCTCACTTGCCCGATCGGACAACCAAGATGACGTTTTTACTTGTCCGAATACGGCATTAACTTGCCCCGGGCAATCGGACAACCGTAAGTGTCTGACCCTAGACATATAATACAACTTTGTAGTTACTCAATTATATTTTTTACACTTGTCAGAAACTTCAAACTATGTATCTAGCACTAAAAAGATCTTTTTTATAGCAAAAAAGAAAAGAAAGTATCATATATCAATTAAAATTCAATCAAAAAACTATTCTGTTTATCATGTTTTTGAGATTCTTTGTTTCTTATTAAAAAAGATATATAAATTTAACAAAGTGAGCAACTTTAATCAATAAATTGAAACAATGCATTTACATGGAAATATAAACATTTAGCAAGGAGATCTAACCATCAGTTTTTTTATGGGCGTGGAATGCAAATTTTTCACTTTCGGGATCATTATTCTTCTGTCAGCTGTTCCATTGGTGCGTCTGTAGCTATCATCATAAGAATACGGATTTCGATCACAGCTGATCTGCTTCCGATGAATCCCGCCTCCAATCCGTGGTTCGTACAAATATTTCAAAGGCGGACGAAGAAAAATTACGAAAATAAATAATGTTTGACAAGCGATTTGGAAAGAAATACGATGCTTTTAATGCAAAAAATGGGTGAAACATTAACTAAAGGCAATTTTTATCACGTTTTAATGAAGAAACAAACTTATTTTGCCGAAAATCAGAATGTTTTGATATACGCTCTCGCATAACAATTATCGGAAGTGAAAGAAAATACTTCATCAAAGTTGTTTCTTTTCAAATAACATACGACCAATCTGTTAAGTCAATACTTTCAAAGCTTTTTTAAAGTATGAAATCGTTTTTGTCTTTGAATTTCTTTACTTGTAAATGAAAAATTGCTGTTTTATGGACTTGGAAGAAATGGAAAATTGCCGATGACGAAAGCGACTGCAAACAACTATTTAGAACACCAGGGCGACCAGATATCCCTTTTGACGGTCAGGCAAGGCGAAGTGACGGACATGAAACTGACTATTTCGCCCCAGTCGCCTGCTAGCGTGAGCCAAGATTTATTGAAGTAATGAATTTATAACAAGTGATAAGGAATGTTATTTTGCACTTGATAATATCCGCGTAATTATACAAAATATGTTCGGTTATCAGTCAAAAGCGCAAGGGAAATTTCTGCGGCAACATAAAACCGGTTTGACCTCTCAAGGTCACATCCAATGTAAAAAGGGACAAAAAGAATCATTACTTATACTTACTCTTATAGCTGAGTTTATATTATTTATGGAATGACTTTCAGAACCAAGCTGTAGAATATTCAATGCCAGATTAGGATCATCCTGAAACAAATGTTACAATAGTTCATATAGTATTATATCCTGAAACAAATGTTACAATAGTTCATATAGTATTATATCCTGAAACAAATGTTACAATAGTTCATATAGTATTAGTCTAAAATGATTCAATATTGTACATTCTTCTATGTAAATTTTTATTCCAATGACAGGAATAAAAAGGGGGAGGGAGTTGGAAATTTTGCTCTTTAAAAATTTGATGTTGATGTCAGAAGTAGGGTTAACCTCAAGAAGTATTTTCACAATGTCAATGTCAATGAGAAATTAAATGTTGACATATGTATAGACATGTTGAAGGCCTAAATATTCACATCTACATGTCTTTCTGGTTTTATTTTGTTGTTGAGATGCTGTACATGTCTATTCATGTATACCAAAATCTTCAATGTGATTTTTTGTTGAGCCTCATTGGCTCAATTAGATAACTTTCATTTTAGCATGTTTTTTTAAACAATAATATAATTCTTGCTCTGTTGTTTCAACATAATTATAGAATAACTAATCAAAGAACACAAATATAGAACTAGATGCGTTGGAACGACACAAATGGACCTGCTCACAAAAAAAGGGTTTTACAAACAAGATGCTCATGAATCGCTCACCTGTAATTTTTTACTTAAATCTTTCATCAATGATTATTTTTGCTTTTCATTATATATTAATGAGTGGCTAAAAAATGCCATTTAAATGTTCTTTGTATCTGTCATATTTTCTTCAAAAGCAAAAAAATGCACTTTACCCCTATGTTCCATTTTAGCCATAGTGGCTATGTTTCTTGACGTACAAGGAAATAAAATACAAAATTTATACTAGATACTCTGAAACTCATTCAGCCCAAGTTTGGCTGAAATTGATTCAGCGGTTTCAAAGGAGAAGATTTTTTAAAGTAAGCAAACTAGATAAACAAATTGTGAAAAATTGTCTTTAAAGGGCAATAACTCCTTAAGGGGTCAATTGACCATTTTGGTCATATAAAAATCTTATTTGTAGATCTTACTTTGCTGAACATTTTTACTGTTTACAGTTTATCTTTATCTATAATAATATTCAAGATAATTACTGAAAACTGCAAAGTTTCCTTAAAATCATCAATTCAGGGGCAATAACCTAAAAATCAGATACCCGATTTTGCTGATAATTCAGGGCAGGCAGACCTTGACCTAATGAATACTTTAACCTCGTCTGATTTGCTCTAAATGCTTTAATTTTTGAGATATAAGTCAAAAACTGCATTTTACCCTATGTTCTATTTTTAGCCATAGCGGCCATGTTTTTTGACGAAACAGAAATTAAACAGAAACTTTATTCTAGATACCCTAAGGATCATTCAGCTTAAGTTTGGTTGGAATTGGTTCAGTAGTTTCAGCGGAGAAGATGTTTGAAATAGTTTACACCGGATGGACGATGAAGAAGGACGACGACAACGGACGACGAACGCCAGGTGATGGCAAAAGCTCACATTTCCTTAGGAAAGGTGAGCTAAAAAGTCTGTATAACTGTTCGTTTTGGAATGACGGAATAACAGAATCTGAATGACGGATAAGGGTATACTATATGGCCCCGACAAAATTGTTGCGAGGCCATAAAAAAATTTCAACCAGTGACTGAACAAAATATTAATTCACGAATGTGCATAGCGCATGAGTTAATTATTAGTGTTGTTTAGTAACATATGGAATATTTTTGATATTTGATACCCACTACTGAAGAGTTTCATCTGTATTATAATACCTGTCTTAATGCTAAAGCTGCAGCATATGCTTATGCCTTTGGTGGTGTCACGGTTATATCTTGTAAATATTTGTCACATATGATTTCAACAGCTTTCTCCAAAGCTTCCTGTGTATTCTTAAAAAATAAAATTGAATACTGTAACAAAATCAAAGTAAAAGAAAGCAGAAATCACAATTCTTCTCTTTCATGGCATTTCTATTAGGTATGCAACGCTGTTAGGAATTACTCATTGAAAACTCATTGGTTTTACCAAGTGATTATGAGTACATTGTACTTTTTTGGTAAAATATCTTCAAATGAGAACACTAATTGTGCAACAATGGATCAGGAACTACTCAAAGAATTAGCGCTGATGTGTTTGCATTACATATTGTAATTTACCAGTAACATTTTTATGTGATCGTCGCCACTTTCTGTCTCATACATCCAATCAAAAATGAAATTGAATCAATATTGTAAGTCATGTGTAACCATTTGCTTTGTAACTATCCTCATGACCGTTAAATAACTAACATTTTTGAAAGTTTTTATTGGTGACACTACCTCCCCTTCCCCTCTCCCTTTACCCTGCCTGAAAAATTACTGGATCAGCCCCTGACAATTACATGTATTTACATTAAAGTCTTCATAGGCTATACTTTTTTTAAAGGTGAAAAAAAATAAAATACTTACTAAATTATATAAAGCTGCCATGACCAGTGTCATATGATTTGTAAGTTTTTGTTCATTAAAATAATCTATTTCTTCATAGGTTTTCACAACTTTCTCATATTCTCCTGTCTTGAATAGTAGATCCATATACACATCAATTACAGAGTTGTTATACAGAAAGTTCCTCATGGTGGACTGAAAAATGTAGATATCATTATTCATAATTTGTTTAATACATTTCATCGATATTTTTCTTATTTTATTTTTATCATTAACTGCGGTGCTCTAATTATTTTTTTGCTCAAATTTTATAAATACCTTGGCGCTTTTGCTTTGCTTCAATTCCTTTTAGACTAGTTATTGTCAGACACAGTTCGTTATTAGCATAAAACAAGGTATGCTCCAACTAAGTTTTTCTATTACCAGAATGTAATTTTTGTAATAAAAAAATTGGAAAATATTCATCAAAATAATAATATAGCCACAGACTTTATAAATTCAAGGTTTATGCTTGATAACAGAGGTAAGTTAAGTTGATAATCCTATATAACTTAAGCAGCCATGTCATCAGAAGATAAATTCAAAAAGCTATTTCTGTTGTTCTCACATCACTTAAGTTTTTGCTATAACAGATATATAATTAATGCATTTTTAGTTTACTAGTAAATGTTATATCCTTAATCTTCCAAAACTATGATTTTTTTTTCAGATTTCGGGCTCCAACTCGAGAAGACCTTTGGTTATTTATTCCAACCTCTATAGCATATTATTTTATTATTCTAAATGGTGGTCGTTCTAGCATTATTGGAAATAAAAACTTAAGCAATTTTTCAATATGTTACATGAAAATTGAGTATGCTTTCACAAATTCATGGAAAACTTACACATTTTGTTTTACAATAAAATATACCAGTACATATAATATCCACTCTCACTGATTTGTGAATGTACCCTGTATTTCTGATACAGCTGTTTATGTATGTATATGATATAGATTAAAGACTATACTGCATTGCTAGAAATATACAGAATTGGGTGTTACTGGCAGATCTTTGACAAACAAAAAGACTAATTGTTTGACATACTAAAAGAGTAATCGTATGACAAACTAAAAGACTAATTGTTTGACATACTAAAAGACTAATGGTTTAACAAACTAAGAGAATAATCATTTGACTGACAAAAAGACTAATTGCTTGACTGACAAAAGACTAATTGTTTGACAAACTAAAAGACTAATTGTTTGACATACTAAAAGACTAATTGTTTGACAAACTAAAAGATTAATTGTTTGACAAACTATATCTTTTTTAAACAACCAGTAATTCAAGATAAACCTACCCTATCTTCCATAAACATAATAGCGATATATGCTTTCTTAAAATGATGCAACATCCTCATGAACTGTGGCCTAATGTCCAACTTGACATTCTGGTACTTTGCTGGATTAGGAACATTACCAGTTTCATCAGTTATGGATGTATCATCTTTGGCAAGTTGGTGATTTGAAAATGAAGAAACCTTGCAATCATTGTTGTTACCAGGAGAACGAACTTCGTTATTTTGATGGTTTGCAAACAAATGAACCTTTGCTGTATGATGTTTGGTGATTTACAGGAGCATGAACTTTGAAGTTTGGTGAATTTTAGGTGCTAGAAACATGGCTGGTTGTATTCTGCAGGTGCATGAACTTTGGCAGTTTCCTTATTTATAGGTGATTGAACCGTTGCTAGTTGGTGATTCACAGGTGGACAAACTTTGCCATTTCAGATGCATTAACCTTTGCTGTTTGATATCTGAAATACAATGAAAACTGCTTATACAACTCTGATGGCTTAAACTCAATGGGATAATTTACTTAAGATAACTTGGAAAATTACATCAACACAATAAAAGCAGACTTATTTCTGGATATTGTTTGTTTAAAATTTGCTGTTATAAATTTTTGAAATTATTTTGAATTAAGGAATACATCTCCCTCATGCAAAGCTCTGATTCCTTGTCCAAATTTGGCATTACTTTAGGTCCTTTTTGGTTTGATACATTTTTCAGCATTTGTATTAGATTTTGCGTATTCAAATATTTTGGCCTCGAGCATCACTGAAGAGACATTAATTGTCGATATGTGCATCTGGTGCATTAAAATTGGTACCGTTTGTGTATTATTTCACCTATCTAGACTGAGTTTGCTGAATATGTGTTTGGTCTACCATTGTTCAAATTTTACATATGTAAATTGAAGAAATAATTCATGGGGGCTTGAATATATCGTGATTTTACCACGAGTTGGCCCTTTATGACAAATATTTTACCCTGAGCGAGGGGTAAATATCAGCATAAAGGGACAACCCGTGGTAAAATCACGATATATTCAAGCCCCATTGAATTATTTCGATTCTAATAGGACAAATACAGCATATATTTTGGATCGAAGCGCTCTAGATGAAGGCATTATTTGCCGTTCCCATAAATAAACGCACTATCAAATTGACGTAAAAGACCGGAGCAAACTGAATAAATGACATGCTTAAACTATTTACAATAACATATTTAGATAGGTTTGGATGAATCTAAATGATAATTGTACTTATATGTCTTATATGTATACAAAAAAATGGCTTATATAAAAAATTTTAGCATCGTTTGTTTACGTTTCCTTGTTGTAATTATTTTCGGTTTCACAAGCATGTATTTTCCCGTAAAATGCTTATATTCTTACGTCATCGTGCTATGACGTCGGGTAGCTCATTCATAAAAAAGCATATGACGTGGGAGTACGATCGGAACAGCCCAAACAATATATTCATATTTTACCACGGGTGTGTACTCAAAGCGTTTGAAGAACGTCATGTTAGAATATGTAGTAAACTATGATCTTTCTGTAAGTGAATTGGAAGTTATGCTTTTACACTTCATACTTGGTACATGTATATCAATTTTTCTACTTCAAATTAACATAACTTGAAGGATAAAGATTTGCAAAATACCTGATTAACAATAGAATCTTCCAATTACTTTAGACAATTCAGATATAGCTCAAACAATAACCTAACAACAAAAATTAATGCTTTTGGCATAAAGAAAAGAAAAAAAAAACAGTATAAAAAAATCTCATCCATCCTCATTTTTTTTTTTTAATCTTACAAAAAAATTGACTTCAGTGTCTGTAAATAAGTATTGAACTACAAAATATAATTCCTTATTGGGATCAATCACTATTCACTATCAATTATCAATAGAATTGGTTGAAGGTTACCTTCTAACCATATCCACACAAAGATTAAATTCCCTGGGGGACTGAACTAGATGGATCATGGTCTGTAGATCATCATGACTTATACTTTCTTCACTTTTCATTTTATTTAACATCTTCAACACAAAAGTCTCTGAAATAAAAATTGAATATTGTCTTTAATTTTTTGCCCATTTTTTCACATTTCGCATAAATACTGACATGAATTTTGTTTTACTTTGTGCCAATCTGACGAGTCAAGCCCTTTCCAACTGAATTTTACTAGTTTTTTTATGTTGGTAATGGCAGGTTAGAGGGAGGGTTAACGCTCAACAAACATGTCTTACCCTGCCACATTCTTTATCTGCCTGTCCTAATTGTTCAGGAGTCTGTAGATGTTGTTGTTTGCTGCATGCATCAGTTTTTTCTGTTCATTTGTTTAAAGCATTGTTGTTTTTCAATTTTGAATTGTTTCAGATTTGTTATAAGGTATGGGTTTTGCTTATTGTTGAAAACTGAACAGTGGCCTTGCCATCTATAGTTTTTTACTTCCTCATAAATTAGTCTCCGATGGATAGATGTCTTTTGAGCAATCATACCACATCTTATTTCTAAAAAAAAAGGGAAATGTGGTAGATTAGACTTACTTACTAGGCAAGTTGTCTTAAGAGGAAGATTTCCAATTTTTTTGAAATTATTGAGAGGCTCTCATTTATATCTTGAGAGGTTGACACTTGTGTAAAATAAACTCCCAATGAAACTCTCTAGTTATAAACCATGTACCTGATTAAACCAAACACCTGTCAAATTTGAACAAAATCTGTCGACCTTCAGGGTTTAAATTAAAAATGGGCTTGGCTGTAATATGAAGAACATAAATTTCTACCTACTTTTTGAAACCGCATCATATTTTCTTTGATATTCCTCGCATCTCATAAAATATTTATTCATTTTTAGTAATTGGTTATCCATTAAAAATCGTCTGCCTGCAATAATAATACATGAATGAAAATAATTCCATGATGTGCAAAAATATTTTTCATTCTGGAAGCTGATTTTTGTGGTTGATAAAAATGAAATAATATGGTGAATGAAGACATCAATGAACAATAGAACAATTTATAAACTTCTAAGAACTTGTAGAGTTTAACTGAAAATAATATCCAAATACATGTACTACAAACAGGGTGCCAAAGAAAGAAGGTTAATAAAGCAGTGATATCACAATGAACAGAAAATAACTCGTCTTGAACAATACATTCTACCCAACATGCAATGCCAGGTATATAATGCAGTGAAAAAGGGCTTTTATTATGAAAACAAACAAACAAATAAACAAGTAAAATTTGTAACTCCCACTACTTGCATGCTTTTAAAAAAAGAAGATGTAGGGTATCTGTCAATAAGATTGCAGTTCTATTCTTTTCTACCAAATAGTGACCACCTTCAGACCTTCAACAAATAAAAGATTACTTTACTAGAGAATTACAACAAGAGAGATTAATTATATATGCAAATTAAAACAGAGGAAACATTAATGTAACAAAATGAAGAATATATACATTTAAAAAAATATCATGACATCTAAGATTAAAGGCGCATTAACTACGACAATGTACGAGATATAAATAAAATAAAATATGATTTTCTTTTGTTCAAACATTAATGAAAGTGAAATAGTGAAATAATAATTTGGTTCGATTTTGTCAAAATAAGCTAAGAAACATCGCTGACGAGTTATTCACTTGCAAATGAACAATTTCGACCTCATTGAATCCGTATTCATGTGACCTTCAATTTAACCCCTTAGCTGGACATGGGCTACACATCTATTCAGCTATTAAAAGGAAAAGAATGTCAACATTGTAATTGAATAATGGATGAACCATTTAATTGACTAATTCGATCCACAAATAAATCATTCTTATACAGGTAAAAATGATGATACTTTTTAACCTTCAATACGAAATCAAACAGACCAAGAAAAATCCAATTGCACGTGGTCACTATCTGTTTATATTTATATTTATATGGGGCTATATGACCGTCGGCAGTCTTCGGAGGTCATCTCGGTGGTTAATTAGATGGCGTCTAGACAATAATACACACGAAATGTTGATACATATTATTGAGTCCATATATTGTTGATTGTTTATATTAGACATTTCGTAATTTGGATATACGTTCTAGTATGTTGTAAATCAAATATGAGAATTTGAGTCAAATTGGTGAACATGAATTTGACAGCTTATGCACCTTTAAGTAAATTTGTTGTCTCAAATTAAGCTGATTTGTTTTTTTTTATAATATATGCAATTGGTATAACCTGTCACCAATTAATATACATATACATCAATATAGGGCTTTTCAAGAAAAGTTTCATTTAAGGTAGAACTCCAGTCAGTTTTTTCTCGAGTTGAGTAATGATGAGTGGTATTTTAAAACAGAACATTATTAAAATTCTGTCATGTCTGTAGGTGTTATCAAATATGAAAATAGTGTTTTAACTTTTTCCAAAATGAAACTAGAGGCTCTAAAGAGCATGTCACTCATTGAGGACTAGAATAGAAGTCATGACAAAATCTCTTTTTTGTTGACCTTGTATTGCTGATCTTTTTTTCTGATGACAGGATCTCTCTATCTTCTATAGTTTTTGGACAAAATGATTTCAAGATAATAGGCAAAAACACTAAAAATGGGTATAATCATCGTCATTAAAGAATAATAAGTCCAAAACATGTTGTGACTTATTTGTAGATCTTATTTTAAAGAACTTTTTTGTTATATATTTTTGCTAACTATTTCAGTTTATATAAAATTAAAATGGTCATTCAGGAGTAAATACTACTGTAAGGAGTCAGTTGAAAATTTGACTTACTTGTAGATCTTATTTGTTGAACATCTTTCGATATTTAAAATTTCACTCTATCTTTTATGGTTTCTACAGAAAATGCATAAAATGGGTAAAACCATCTTTCAAGGACAATAACTCCTACAGAGGTCAAATTTACAATTTCAGCAATGTTGACTTATTTCTAGATCCAATTTTGCTGACCATTTTTTCGATTTAGACTTTCTCTCAGTCTATCATGGTTCAAAAATTATGTTTCAAAGGCAATAACTCCTATAAGGGGTCAATTGATCATTTCAACCATGTCGATTAACTGGAAGATCTTATTTTGCCAAACATTTTTTCTATATATATATACAGTGTATTTCAAAGTCAATTAATCCTATAAGGGTTCAATTGGCAATTTCGCCATGTTGGTTTAATATTGTAGATCTTATTTGCTGATCATATTTGCTTTTACAATTTATCTCTATTGTGGTATACGAAAAAGAAGGTAAAAATTGGCTTTCAATGGCAATTAAACTTCTATAATAGGTCAATTAATGATTTCCTCATTAACCTTTTAGATGCAACTCCAAAATGGATTGTCCCATATTTCTGAAAATTACATAATTGCTCTAACTGTTTTAGTTTAAGAGATAAAGCCAAAATCCTTTGTAAAAAAATTGATATTTCAGCCATTCAGGGGCAATAACTACAAAAAGGGTATTGCGATTTTTTAGGAATATTATACAGAAAATAGACCTTGACCTGCTGATCATTTTTACCTATGTAAGTTTTCTGTAACTACTTAAGGTTTTTGCAATTGTAACCGTTAAAAATTTTGGCACGCACTAAAACTCCCAATGCTTATTTGGTGTTGTATAATTATAACAGCTATCAGTTCATATAGAGCATTAATTTCCATGTGTAAAAAAGCTAGAAGCAATCATAAACATCATTGACATCAACAATAATAAACTTTAAGCTCACACAATTATTCTAATCATTCACTATTCCAAATCAAAAGGCACTAAAATATTTAGGGTAACTACATATTTTCACACCACCAAAGCCACTTATAACAACAATCATGATTTTCAAACACATTACAATAGTACCAAATAAGCTTTGTTAATACCAATAAACAGTAATCATGAATAATTACCATTTAATAATTTCAATCAAACAATTTATTTCAGAAAAAAAATTCTCGAATTTTTATTCATGAAAATATAAATATTTTGATATATATACATCTTAAAAACATCTAATAATTCAACCTTTATTTGAATAAAAATAGGATTCGAACTTGTAGGGTGTGAACGGCCCCCGAGGGAAACCTGTCGGGTGCTCACGTATAGGGTGCAAATGTATTAAGGGAGCGAACAGACCCAATACCGTCTAGAGCATCAAATCCAGAAACAGTTAGATTAACTCCCTGACATCATATTCATTTGGACTGATAGTATATGAATAGTGTATAAAGGAACTACAATATCTTGTACATCTTCAGGAAACATGATGCACAGATGAACTGACACTGGACTGTGATGATTATCGGGATGCAAATTATTCATCATTTATCCATGTAGCTGGACCCTTATTGTCCTGGTGATATTGACAATTTGCAGACCATAGAAAATTGTCAGAAATTATCACATGTACCATAAGATCTATGGTTTCGCAGCTACAATACATTTAGTTCAACTTGTATGCATCAACATGTCTGAACTATAATTTTGAAGGTCAACAAAACTCCTAATGTATGCCATTGCATTTACTCATATATAACTGCTGATATCTCAACTCAAATTTGGATTAATATAAACTAATTGCTTACTTTGGAATGACGGCTGGTGACTGATGATTGACCATCTCATTATTTGACGGAAAATTGTCCCCATTGGGTCATATTGGTTCGGGAAGAAACTAGAATAACTAAACTATTAATACTATCTGAGTAAATACCTCCTATCTTGTGGAACACCGCCAAAATATGGTAAAGATTATCAAGAATATCAAAATCCTTGAGTAAAAATAACAGATTTATTTGCGCAACTTGCCAGAATATTCATCATGTTGAATGTGGGCAGTATTTGGAAGAAGAAGAAGATTTTTTTCAAGCCAAAGTTAAAAATGTTTAAAAAAAATGCTATTTCCAAAAATATATACAAGTTATTTCTCATAGCTTATATAATCTCAAAACTAGGAACCAAATTGGTTTGGCCTCAAGATATAATTCATATGCAAATAATAGACTGAAGCAATGAATTTTTAAGCTTAATACATACAGACTATAATTAAATGTACCTGATTTAATGCTAAAGCTGCAGCATATGCTCTTGTTCTTAGTGATGTTATTCTCTTGCTGTTGTGATATGTAGCTTGGACTAAATTTGTAGCTTTTTCTAATGCTTGTGGACTGTTCTGAAAAATATATTTAAACAAACTCATTCAAGACAATGATTAAGAATAGTGCTTGACCATTTTGTAGATCTTTCATTTTCAGTCCATAGTAGTGCCAATTGTCACACAAGTCATAAAAAAACTGGTCAGAACCTATGAAAGTACCTCCCTACAAACGCTGGTTGTAAATTGTCAGGAAAATAGACAACTCTGGTTAAGTTGTAGATTATGGCATTCATGGCAAAACTGATCATGTGTTTCATAAAACAGCCAATAAGCATACCTGTCAACTGACCTGTATCCTGTGGGTCACACCCAAGAATTTCTACCCATACCCGGGATTTTTTAAATACCCGCCGTGTCGTTAAATAACCTGTGCATTAGGAAAATGACCTGTTTTCAAACGGATTCTTGAGCCTTTAGACTGATTTCATAAATGATTTTCCTTTGAAATACCAGCAAATTCGTAATTCTTCCTGGACAGGAAGTTCAACTAGCTGTGTTAACTGACAAATTTAGTGACCCATTAAGTGCATGGCTTCACTTGACACCTTTGGTGTTAAACACACTGTTAATATTAACACCAATTACCTTAGTTTAAGGTTGTAAATAATTTGTCTATTTCAAAGTTGCTTGACAAGAAATTTCAGTTACTTCCCCTTTTTTGTCACCTCCTTAATTTTATGTTTTTTTTTATAAAAGGATTAAATCTAAAAAAAATACTGAATGCAAATACATATCACAATATTACTTTCTTTTATTTTTCTACCTTAGAACAATTAAAAAATTATTTTGAAAATTATTTTTTTTATCTCTACTTCCTTTAAATGCGTAATTATTTTATTACATTGCAATATCAAGAAGATGCACAAAATGTTAATTACTGGAAAACAAGTAGCTTTGAGAATTGACATAATACTATGAATGAAACAAGGAGAGGGGGTATGGCTTACTTTGAAATGATAAAGTATAACACAATAATATTTCAATGGCTTATTATGCAATGAAAAAATAAAGCTTTAAATTATTTTTAGTTAGTACTTCACCATGTGAACATATTTTGGAAACTGTTTGATTTAAAATATAAAGAAATGTTTGCTAATTACTTAGATTCAGCTGAATAATTTTTGTATGCGTTTTGATCCTGAGATTTTCTTCTTCAATGCAGGTCATGACCTGCATTTTCATTTTCATAGGTTGACAGGTATGCGAATAAGTAAGAATAAAATTTATTACAAGTATTAAAATCAAGGGGCTACTAAGAGCCTAAATCACTCATCTGTCAAAATATATCTTGCATTGCTGATCATTTTTACTGTTTACAGTTTAATTTTCTACCATATAATAATATTTTTGAGATAAAAGTTAAAAACTAGAAAAAATCTTGTGATATATCCAATTTTTACTGATAAATATCAAAATCAAATGCTTAATTACAAATTTCTTTTCATAGCATTGCATAACGATGTATAAACAACAAAACATTAACCGTCATTTGTTCTGATTTGGTGTTTCATACTACTGCATGTGTTTTGTTTTAGCTAAAGGTCCTTCACATATAAATGTGATGAAAAAATTGAATGTATCTTACTAAAGAACTGCACTGTTTTACTTTCAAAGTCGTATTTCTTGTAATATCTATTAAGTATGGAATTAAATCACACTCTCATCTTATTTGTTTGTAATTTAAACATTCTTTTCCTATCTCCATTAATGACAAAGACAACTTATCCAGCTGTTCTTTTTTTTTTTTACAGTTTTGACTTATTCTAACACTTATGTTCCAGAATCATTTACAGCTATTTTCTACTTCTACTTGATCATGAAAAACAGGAATAAAAAAATTAATGTAACTACTGCAATGATCATGCATGACTTGAAATAACAGAGTATCAGTTTTACTACATGTTTTCAATGCCACTTCCATTTTAGACAAAAACTGTCTGAAAATTAGCACAAATGCTAAAATTGTGAAGAATTCGATAACTTTGCATGAATTAATTATGCTAGTAGTACACAGAACACCACCAAGCCTGTCACTAACTTCTTCGTTTGAACAAATGATGAAGGTAAAATTTTGAATATATCATTAACTATTTTTATAGAACTATGGCACAAGTGTTTTCATAGATATAAGAAGATGTGGTATGAGTGCCAATGAGACACCTCTCCATCCAAGTCAAAATTTATAAAAGTAAACCATTATAGGTCAAAGTATGGTCTTCAACACGGAGCCTTGGCTCAAACCGAACAGCAAGCTATAAAGGGCCCCAAAATTGACTATTATCAGTCTTCTTTCTCTTTTAATATTTTAAATATAAATAGTTAATTGTCTTTTGGTCTTGATTCTAATGATATGATTTTATTTGTTATAATGTAAACATTTACAAGTATTCATCAGTTTAATTTGTGAAATGTCAATTATTTACTGTTGATAAATAATATCTTTAGTCATTTAAAAGTGATAATATATGTACAATATTTTGATTATGATCATTTAATAATCATCTAAAATTGAGTAAATATTGTAAATTCAGAAATTATTGCAATGTTTTTATTATTGCGAAAAATGCGACAGGGTTATAATCGCAATAATTTAAACTCGCATTTTGAAATTTTTTATATGAATTAAACAGGATTTTTCTCAATATCGCAAAAAATAAAATCGCATTTTAGTCCAAAATGACAAAATCGCAATAATTTCTGAATTTACAGTATTTTAATTATTTAATCTGTTAGTAAAAACCACTATTGAATTTCTTAATTGCATGATAATTAAATTATACATGTTGATACGGGAAGGTCTAAAACGCGGAAGTGGGAAAACGCGGAAGGGTAAAATTGATATATTATAAGTGATTTCTCTGGAACTGCTTAAGATAAATTAACACTTGAAACGGATTTTGAAAGCTTATATGATACTCTATAAGTTAAATTAAAAAAAAAAAAATTTTGATAATCATTATGACCAAAAAGTTGACAGGAAGCCTTGTTAAGCGTGACTCTGGCAATCCAATTTCGAATCTTTAAACTTAAATTCACGAAAAAACATATAACCCGGTCAAAATCTAAAAAACGATTTCTATAGACAATTTAATAACAAATAATATGGTATAAAAATAATTAGCAATACATTAGAAGAAAAGGGCAAAATCTTGACCGGAAGCCTCTCTTGTATATAAATGAAGAAGTCAAAATTTCAACTTTGAACTAAAATTCACGAAAAAATATATACAACTTATTGCATTGTTTTCTTACTTAATCTCATTAAGTCATAAAGGTAAAATTCCTTACACGGCCTTCATTATTGACTTGATTGTTAACCATTGGTTGTTTATTAGAAGGCTAAAATGTATTCATAAAATGCTGTAGATTTATTATTTTTATTTTTTATTTTTCAGGTATTATCAAAGCTGAGGTCATGTGGTCCAACTTCATAGCACAGCACAACATCTCCTTTCTACTTGCAGACTGCTTCACAAAGCTGTGTAAAGCCATGTTTACAGACAGCAAGATAGCTACAAAGTTTGCATGCAGCCGTACAAAGACTACACAAATCATCAAGAAGTCACTTGCACCTACTCTTCATCAAGAAGTTGTCCGAGACCTGCAGTCCAAACTGTTTTCCATAGCCATTGATGAGAGCAACAACCACAACTGTGACAAGTCTCATGCCATTCTGTTTCGCTACTTCACTGACCAAGTAACAACCACATTCCTAGCCATGCCAATATGTAATATAGGAAAAGCATCTAACATCTTTGACCATTTTCAGGAAGTGTTTGTACAAGTTATTTTCTAATAAACTTTAATTTCTAATTTTAACACCATTTATTAACTGATTGTCATTGATAGATTGATTATATGCTTTATGTCCAGTGGACAATATTTCATACATATACAGGTATATGACAATAAGAAGCAACAGCTTCAAATTCATGTTAGTAATACTTATAAAAATAAGAAGATGTGGTATAATTGCCAATGAGACAACTCCCTACCAGAGACCAAATGACATAGAAGTCTAAAACTTTATTTTGTTTATACAAGTTCATGTTAATTGTGATTTAAAAGTATATATTGCATGTGTGCATGTACTTTTAATAATCATTAAATAGTACCTTTTGTATTTGACATTACAACTGTTGGTATTGATCTATATTATATATTGTTGCCTTTTTGTTATCAAATTATTAAAATGATTATTTTTTTTATTTCTTTACAATGTACGTATCAGATAAACAACAAGAAATCTTACTGGTGTTTATAACAATAAAGAGAGTACAACAATCATAAAAGTAAAAAAGAAGGGTTATAACCTCATCTTCCATCATCACCCAAAAAAAAGAAGTATGCCACTATTTCTTGGTCCAAATCAGCACATATTTTTTCGTATGTGGTGATTTATTAATTGGCTCGGTTCTTTAATCTTTTGTTATTTTTTTTTTGTTGTTGTTTG